ACACTAATGAAAATTTCGTTTTGCAAGGGATGCGACCATCCAAATAGTCAAAAAAATAAAGGGAGAAAATTTATTCAACGGTTTGGAATGTACGATCATGATGTTGTGTGGGGAGATTCACAAGCGACACTTATAATAGTAGTGTGATTGTAAAATCTCTTCTTTTTATGGATTAATAATATTTATATAAATAGTTAATATACATTGATGGTAAAATTACTTTCATCAAATGTTTTAATTTACATAATTTTATAATATGTCAAAAGGCAGTTTGATTTGAATTCAACTAAGTATAAAAATAAGAGATAGAGAGAGAGAAAAGTAAAAGAAGAAATATATTTTGTCAATCCACAAATTTGAATATATATTTTTTTTTGCAAATTTGAAGCTTTATTTTCTTATAAGGTTTCTTAATTATTTAAATCTATAGAACTCACTTTAGAGGAAAGTTTGGAGTAGTTGCAGTGGTAGATAAGATTAGAGAGTTGTCTTAGATGGCTCAGTCGCACAAAATGTTACTTTTTGATAATTTAGTTTGGAGAGTAGATGTATTAGATTAGAGAAGTAGAGGTAGACTTAAAAATTTTGATTAGAAAATATTAAAAATATTATTTTTTTGTTAAATTTAAATTGACTCTTAACAAGTCAATTAGAAAAATGCAATCAATCCCATATAGTGGCATAAAGGCTTAATCTTTGTTTGGGACAGCTTATTATTTCTTAAAGCAATTTTTTAGTACACAATTTTTTATTTTTATTTTGTTAGAAAGTTGATTTAAGAAGCGGTAAGAAATTCGTCACAAAAAAGCCTCAGTGATGTTGTTTTAAAAGTCACTTTAGAAGCTCTAATAGTTAATAATTAACCGTAGTGATAAAATTAAATATTTAGATGTTTAAGAACTCGATCCTAATTAATTCTCTCTCCGTAGAATAGAAGCAAATATACTTCTTTAAATAATTTATTAACTATTATGTTATAGAAGTTTCTGACCGACTTAACAAAGGCTCAGCTGGCCCGTGTAGTTGTGCATGGAACTGGTGGCGCTTAAAGGCCTCATGTGTAGGAACAATTATTAGGTCACGTGACCTTATGTAATAGTTCTACGTTCGGACGCCAATAACATGTCGCTACGTGGTTTTACTCAATACCGCGCAGCCCGACGACTTGACCCGGGATCGCTATGTTCGCGTATTGCTTGATATTGCTCTAGGTATTGCTCGGTATTGCTGAGTATTGCTTGGCAATAATGAAAAATATCGCTCTGTGAAGATCAATACCGAGAAATACCAAAACTCGGTATTGCTTGGTATTGGTATTCACATAATTGTATTTCTCGTTATTACCGAGCAAAATCGACCAATATCAAGCAAATACCGAGCAATACCTAACAACACGCGAACATAGCAATCACGTCTCTATTCCGGGTTGGCGTTGTCAGGCCGCGCGGTAAATAGTGAGAACACGTGACACTACTTTACTGGCGTCCGACCAATATCGAGCAAATACCGAGCAATACCTAACAACACGCGAACATAGCAATCCTGTCTCTGTTCCGGGTTGACGTTGTCAGGCCGCGCGGTAAATAGTGAGAACACGTGACACTACTTTACTGACGTCCGAACGTAAAGCTACGTCAGGTGACCGGACCAAATAAAAGTTCCATGTGTAGGATATGTAACGGGCCTTTCCCTTAAAATATTAATTCAGTGGCAATGGGGGGCCCAGGTGTCATTTTAAGCTGATGTTCATGTTATGTCGCACTTAGTAGTCTACTTATATCCACTATGAGCTACCACTGGCTCGTAATCTTTACCATTTTGGATTAAATTTAGGCTTCATTTAGGACAGCTATATTAATGCTTTTTAAAATAACTTTTTAGTTAATTTTTTTTAAAATTAGAAATTTTTATACTAGAAAATTATTTTAGAAAGCAATGAGAAAGCCGTCCATAAGCTTCGTTTGGGACAACTTTTTTATTACTTTTTACAACAATTTTTTAGTACAAAAATATCTTAAAAATTGCAAAAAATTGTGGTTAAAAGCTGTCCCAAACAAAGCCTTATGTTTTATTTGGGACAATTTTTTTTTCATATTTTCTATAAGAATTGTTGCGTCCAGGAGTATTCGCGGCGGTAGAGAAATATAAAGTTTATCGTCTTAGTGTTGTACGAAAATCCGGCACGCAATCAGATAAGAGAAAGGGTCTAGCATTTATGAGACACCAAGATTTTTACGTGGAAAACCCGTGAAAAGGGGGAAAAACCATGAGGCATAGCCCAGTTTGAATGAATCCACTAGTATTGCAGTCGATTACAAATGAGACCCTTCCTTGGTGGAAGGTCTTAGCTTGATGTACATCTCATGGAATACATTACATGATGTTAATACAAAGAGTCATTGTTAACATGTTCGTTTGGTCGGAATGACCGTAGTCGGAGGGCGACGGAGGTCGGAAGACTTGTAGTCGGTGGGCGACGTATGTCAGGAGGACCGTAGTCGGTTGGCGACGGAGGTCGGAAGGACTATAGTCGGCGGGCGACGTATGTAAGGAGGACCGTAGTTGGCAGGCAACAGATGTCGGAAAGACTGTAGTCGGCAGGCGACATAAGTTAGGAGGACCATAGTCGCCGGGCGACGGAAGTCGGAAAGACTGTAGTCTGACAACGAAGATCAGAAGGACAGCGTCAGGTAGAAGTCCAATAATGGAAAGAAATCCATTTCGTGTAGACGTCCAGCGAAGTCCGATAACCGGTAGAAGTCCGGCGTCAGGTAGAAACTTGGCGAAGAGTGAAGGTTCGACGTCGGGTAGAAGTCCGACGTCTGTTGGTGGCAAAGGAGAACTCCGGCTTCACTTGGGCGGAGTTTCAGCGTCAGAAGGAAACTCTGTTGAAAATTGGGAAGAATTTCAGCATAACGTGGAAGTTGAGAAGAATTCCTGCATTCTCCCGAATATCACGCAGAAAGCCCGGCGTGTTCGGGCGGCAGGAAGAGCTCCGGCGGTGGTCGAGGAGGAGGAGATTCTCCTTTTCCCCTTTCTCTTCTTCTTCACTTCTTCTTCTCTCTCTTCACTTCCCCCCCTTTGGTGTAGAATGAGGGCTCTATTTATAGTTTTTCTGGAGTGGCATAGCCCGTAAATAGGCGTGAGATCAGGGGCGAATTGGGAGTGTTTTGAATGGACGGCCTTTTTTTTTTTTTTTTTTTTTTTTTTTTTTTTTTTTTTTGGACATTTAGGCCATTTAAGGCAAACAGTGGTTAAGGTTTTGGCTTTCTACGAGGATTTGGTACGCACATAGAAAGGAGTTGCCAGAGGCGTTGGAGTTCTTAAAGATTAAATCTAAAAAAAGAGAAAATAATCATAAAATGTGGCCTAGTTAAAACGGTACAATTAGTTTATGTCATTGATTACAAATGATTCAATTCCCTATAATAGAGGAAGATGGTGATACACTATAATAGACATGAATTGTATAGAATAAATTTTGTGGTAAAAGTTAAAAAAGCTTGTGCATGAGAGCTATCTTTAAGAGATTATTTATTGCATGTTCTATCATTTTTCTTTGAAGATGGGAGATTATAGATTAAAAAACACAAAATAAACCTTGATTTTGATGTAAAAAAAAAAAGAGTTATGGTCATTGGCGTGCATCAGTTGATAAGCCATGACATATGTCGATATTGGTCACAACAAAGTTAGCAAAAATCAGCCATTGTGGTGACAACGTAAATTCACTTTATAGGCGATGACATGCGTTGACGTTGTTGGTGATGATAGGCGTTAAAGTTAGCAAACGTTAGTGAGGGAACAGTGGTTGGATAATTGTAAAAAAAATAAAATAAAATAATAGTGGTTGGAGAATTCTAGTCAAGGGATAATAGTCGTAAGACTGTAGTTGGATGATCATGGTATGATAGTCACAGTAGGACGATGATGGTTGGAAGACTGCAATCAAATGACGATGATTAGAGGACTATAATCAATTAATGGTGCTCGAAAAATCATAATTAAGAGATGGTGGTCGAGGGATTATAGTCAGGTGACAAAGGTTAAATGACCTTAGTTTGGGACATGGTCAAAAGATTGTAATTAGGCGACATTATTTTAGGATCATTGTTGGGTGATAGTACTTGTAGGACTTTAGTCGGATGACTGTGGTTAGAGGATTGCAAATGAGTGACAATGATTGAACTACTATGGTTGAATGATTGTAGTTGAGCAATGGATGATCGTAGTTGGCATGATGATATTCAAAGGATTTTAGTCGAATAATGATGATTGGGACTATAGTTGAGTCACGACGGTCAGAGGAGCCTAATTGGGAGATTGTGTCGAAGGATTTTAGTTGAGCAATTGTGATTGTAGGATTTTAGTGGAGCGATGATTATCAGAATATTATAATATGGTGATGGTGATAGAATGATTATAGCTGGATTACGGAAGGCGAAAGATAATATTCAGGGTATGCTTGATCGAGTAGTGGTGTCAAGCAATGTTTTAAAAATTATACTGATCCGATCTATTAAACCAATAGATTGGTCAACACATCACATATGATTTTTTATGACATATAAAAATAAATAAGATTTAATCTAAAAATTTAATAATGACTTGCATATATGTATTAATTAAACTAACTAGCATCCATACAAATAAAAGTTGATTCCAACTTTAACCAGCACAGTTTATTGACCAATTTTACCACACTTTCTCTATTTTTTTGTTCTTGTGAAATCTTATCCGGTAAATTTACGTCTCATATGTCTCACTCGAATTCATTATGTCATCCTTCACATCTTATTCGTACTGTGCTTAAAAATTGAACCTTTCGATATCAAGAGAGACACAAAAAAATTAATTTTTTACTCAAAGAAATTAATTTTTTACTAAAAATCTTAAAGCTGCTTTCGACAATCAATCGAAAGCCTCCACAAACTCCGCATGAACAGCACAAAGATGCTATCTTTTTTTTTCAAAAATAAATATTTTTATTAGTAGATCAATCAAACTTGTAGTAACAATACAATTTAGATACTTGAAAACAATGCCAATTAGATACTTCAAATCTTCAAAATAATCCCCAATAAACTTTCTGATCACCAATCCCACAAAATAAAAAATAAAAATAAACATAATGATAATGAGAAAAAAAAAAAGAACACAATTTCTATAATCTCTGATTACTCAGCTCCATCCTCTCCTTCCAAGTTCCACCCAATGCTTCTAACAAGGCGGCAAATCCTCCGGCGGCGCCTCCAACGCCTCTAGCTCTCCAACTCCGTTATCCACCAAGAACGCCATAGCCAATCCCCAAGTGATATGAACATCCAAATGACAATGAAGTAGCCACACCCCAGGATTGTCTGCCACAAATCGTATCACTGCCCATCCGTTCACCGGCACTCCCACCGTGTTCCTCAGCGGCGGATTCACCAAGTTAAACTTCGCCGTATCAGTAGCCCGATTGAAGTTTCCGAATCCTTCAGCGAGGATATAGAAGTCGTATCCATGGAGATGTATCGGGTGGTTCTCTGCCGTGACGATGCTAGTCCCCTGCAACACCAATTCCACTACTGCTCCGTATTTCAATCTGTAAACTTTGGTTGCCGGAACAGGCTGCCAAAGAGCGCGGCTGACGTTTCCAGTGTAGTCGAATTGAATCGGCGGGCTCGGGGGGAAGTCGGCGGAGAAGACGCCGGCGACGCCGAGATGGTGGGCTTGGAGAATGGAGAAGCTTTGTGGGAGAACGAATGAGACGTTGTTGATGCTGGCGGAGAAGCGAGTGCCGTTGGGACCACCGCAGGTTCTTCCGGGTTGGCAGGGGAGGAGGCCTAAGCCGACGGTGAAGAAAAGGTTATCGGTGACAGGGGAAGGTATTTTGACAGGGGAAGCACTAAAAAACTGGCGGCTAAAGGCGGTAGCGGTCGCTGTATCATTGAAGGCGGGGAGGGTAGGGAAAGCCGGCTTGATGGAGTTGGAAAGGCACCCACAGTCGTATTCAAGGATGGCGGTGGTGGTGGTGTTGTCAAAGGCGACGCCTTGCGCGCTGGCGTAGGCGCGGGCGGCGATGTAGTAGCGGGAAGAGGGCTGGTTGGTGGTGACGAGGACGTCGGTGGTTTGGCCGGGTCCGAGCATCAGAACGGAGGTGGTGAAGGGTTTGGTGTAAGAAGCGTCAGCCGAAACGACGGTCATGGAGTGTCCGGCGATGGAGACGAAGAGTTCGTCGTTGAGGGCGGCGTTGATGAAACGGAGTAGGTTGATTTGGTTAGGCTTGACGGGGAAGGTGGTGGTGGATTGTGAAGAGCAGTTGTACAGGTCGCCTGGTTCGCCGTTGATGGTGAAGGCGTCGGAGATGTTGGGGGCGGCGCCAGTTTGTGTGGCTTGCCGGACGACGGTGATGGGATCTTGGTTCCACCACTCACCTGGTTGTCATCAATACGGTTATGTCAGTAAAATCCAACAATGGAAGCAAATACTGTGTAAAATACGAAAAATATTTATCAATTATTAAAAATGATAAAACAATGGGCTAAAATAATGAAATTTATTACATTAATCAATAAATAAATATAATTAGATATTAAAATAATGAGTGAGAATAAAATTCTCATTTTTAAAATAAATTTCTTAGTCAAATAAAAACTGTTATCAAACGACTTTTTGAGAAGCCCAAAGTTCGAAATTATGTGATTTTATGTCGCTTTTCATGTATGACTACTTATGGTGGTGGGCCCATGAGAACCTTGCAAAAACTACCCTTATCCTATCACTTTTTTCTACACCATGTAGCAATGTAAAGCATTGAGCTTTGCTCCTTTCTTTCGATTAATTAATCCCTGCGGACACCAAATGTTTTGTGGAGAACAATCAGAATGCGTCATGTCATCTCTACGCTCGATAATGTTTGGTATCATGGATCGATACCATTGATGTGGCATATTCTAATTAATCTTCGTACAATGTTTTACATCTAACCTCGGCACAGAATAATTTCTCCTGACTTTCGTACAAATTCCAAATATTTACAAAGTAAGAAACTCCAATGATAAAAATGATCTTTTGTTGTACCCTTGCTTGGGAGAAAAATGTGAAGCATGTCTTCAAGACATCATAAGCTCTTTGCCTCTTGCTCAATGTCAATAATTATACCACACCACTTAATCAAATCATTGTCTTGGAGTGGCGGGCCCTAGGCTAATACTCTCTCTCTCTCTCATTAGTATAAAAATTAATACACTAATTACTATTAAAATTTTCGAAATAAGTAAGAGTTTAATATAATTACCAAGTATGACCGGGAATTCCCTGTTTGGTTGGGCAAAGGGGTAGTTATTGCCCTCTTTGGGGTGAATGATAAGAGCACCATATACAGTTGCCCTAAGCCATGAGCTATGAGCATGCCACCATAGTGTTCCTTCTTGGCCCTGAACGGTGAACCTATAGGTGTAGTGTCCTCCAGGTCGAATCGGGCATTGCGTTACAAATTCAGGTCCATCTGCCCATGCTGTTCTCATTTGGCGAATCCCGTGCCTACAAGCATTAAAAAAAAAATCATAAATTCATATTATATTTAAATTTATATGTATTCCACCCATGCTTAGCTTGGTTGGTGGACAATTACGGTTGGGAACCCCCCAACCTGTGCTCTATTCCCCTTAAAGTGGGATGAATTATTATGTGCGGACATTAAACGCTGTCCAGAGCCCAATGAAAATGTGCCACGTCACCCTTACTCGATACCACGGCTTAGTACTGTACTGAGCTCGGTACTGGAAGACGTGGCTGCACCTGATTGGCCTCTGAAAGGTAAGCTATGTCTGGTGTCCGCACAGAATAATTCCAATTAAGTGCGGGCCAGGAGGTTTCTGGGGTCAGTGCCTCTTCTAGGTTAGTCGAGGATTAGTCACGCTGCCAAGCGCCCTTTCGGGGGTGACAGCGGTGGATACCTAGTTCCAAAAAAAAAATGTATAGATATGTATGTACATATATGTATATAAATTCATACCAGTGTATTGTGACATTGTACTGAGCCCGGTTCACAACACTGACCACCAATGTATCACCATTGCGAATTTCAATAGTTGGACCAGGAAATTGCCCATTCACAGTGATGATATTATGGGTCTTGCAAAGCTTATTCACCGGCGTTGCTTGCACCTAAAGAAACCAATCAAATATATAAAACACTATTTGAAGCATAATTAAACTAGCTTAGCTAACTTAATCCCTTGCTTAACCATTAATCATAAGAGATGAAAGGTGAATTAAAGATCAATCAATGGATACATACAATGAAGTCATGGTAGTGAACTTCTGCATTGGAGCTGGGAAGCAGGAGAAGGGACAAGGCAATGAGAAAGCAGAAGAGCAAGCTTCTTTGGCTTGAAGTGGACATGTGAGCTTCCATTGTTGGTTTGAGAGAGCTTGAAGGAGAAGCTCTTAATGTTGTAGTGGGATAGAAAGGGAAGGGGGGCATAGTACTTATATATAAAGATGAGCGTAGGGTTGTTTGAAGTTTGGCCAGATTAGGTTTTGATGATTTGTGCAAAGGAGCTGCTCTTTTTTGAAATTGAATGGTAGTCAGGCCTGTTGGGTTTCCTCGGTTTATTTTTATTTTTTTGAATCAACGGTACTATAGGAGTTGTTGCACCCACTGGGTTTCTCGGTGCAGTATTTCAGCAATGCTTCCTTCACAAGTTTTCACATTGGAATTGGACTTCTAAGGACAAAGATATCATTATAGCCATTGCTTTCCATTTATCATATCGTATGGGTCCCTTAGTTTTTTTTTTTCTTTTTTTTTTTCTGAACTTTGTAGTAGAAAATCTAAATTTTAATTGATTTCTGCATGAGGTTTTCATGAAGCCAGGCCCCATGGCACCACTGGGGAGGATGATTAAGTCTCCCCTTTTCATTTCATAAAATCAATCTTGTGGTCAAAGTTCCCTTTTTTGGTTTTTTTGGGGAAATCATTTGTTTTCTTGGAAGGATCTTTATATATATATATATATATATATATATATATAATTCAAATATAATCATAATAAATACTCGATTATTAGATTGATTCAATTTTTTTACTAAAAAATATTCTTTTATGGGAAGAGTTATTGAGGAAAAAAATTCAAATTTTCAACTGTTTATGGTAGTATGGTACACCAAAATTCTATAATAAATAATTAAAAAAATTATGGCAATATATTCGAATACAATTTATAGAAATATGAGTTTAAAAGTTAACCATAAGATTTATTTTGAGATTAATATTATATATGACACTACAGAAAATTCACTGGATACTGACGTTAATACCGCTGGAAGTTTTCATAACAACCAGAAATTTGATGTATTATGTCGGAAATTGCCTCCGATAATAGGTAATTTTTCTGTAGTGTGAATAATTTACATTACTAATTTTAAAGTAAATCTTATGATTGAAGCTTATCCTCAATATCCTTATACAATTTTTTTCATAATAAATGATAGAGAAACATATATTATACCCTTAAAAAATTAAATAGAAACTCATAACCTTAAAAATTATTGGCCTTATTTCCAAATTAGTATTGTAAATAAAAATTTTATATATTAATCTTAAAGTACGTAAATCTAATGATTTAAGCTCATCCTCAATATTTATTTATTTATTTATTTTTATAATAAATTCGTTGTAAATGATAGAGAAACACTATACCTCTAAAAAAAATTAAAAAAAAATCTCATAACCTTAACACTTAATGAGATATATATAATAAAAAATCTTCCTAAATAGTCCTTTCGAACATTTACAGTTCATTTACAAAAAGAATCCAAATATTTTATTAGTTTTAAAGTCTTTCGCAAAGCAGTTGACATGAATTTAATGAACCAGCCGGCCTTGCAAACTCTGAACGGAGACCATTTAATTTACCAGTCTCTATCTGTTGGTCACTTGCGTCTTCTTTCAACTCAAATAGTTAAGTTATCAATAACTTAATTAGCCAATGAGGCCATGAGGGTTTGATTTTTCTATAGACGTGTGAAGGAAGTTGGTACGATGCCCTGAAAGAAAAATCAAACGAAATGGGGCCATGCAGCTTCTTGGATTCATTTTTGTCAACCATGCAGCTGCTTTCTGTTTAATAAACTATGGCTGATCAATTACATACCAGTTCAGTTCCGTTACGCTGTAGGGATTATGGTGTTAGTTCAGCTAACTTTGCTTTTGAATGGTAATGACTTGGAAGGAAAATGCTACTTTTTTACTTTTACTTTTTCCTTATTGTTGGTTAGTTGGATGTAAGAAGTAGCTAAGTTTGTTGGATCCAAGTTGTTTGTGGAAGATAACAACTTTGTTCTACGATTGTTAATTGAGCCCAAGGGGTATAGAGGAAATAAGTAAGGTGAAGTTTCGGTTTGAAGATTCTCTTACTTGATTTGATTTTTAGCAGATTTTGTTGACCTCTTCAAGAGAGAGAGAGAGAGAGACTTATGACCAAGTATTGTTCTAGAATTGACTAATCAGAGGTTTAGTATATGGACAATTCATTGACTAAAGAAAATTTAAATTTTGTAAGATAATTCTTATGGTTGTAGTTCATATGAAACCGTCAACGTTGGGCGATTTTGATATGGAATCACCGAGGTTGTAATTACATGATGGAGAATATTTTAATTTGACATATGTTGACATTTCCAAATGTTGCCTTAGATTAAGAACTTTGAGTTAGTCTAAGTTTTAGGTTTGAGTCATGTTAACTTGAAAGAAAATTTAAATGATTTGACTTGAAGTTTTGTCTTAACAAAAAAATTATGAAAATCTTTTAGTCATGATTATTGCTATATCTATCTTTTTTGGGTTTTGACTTGTGTGTGGGGCCAAGATGACTTGAAGCTTGAAGGGATTTACAAGTCAATTTGTGAGTTGCTTGGAGCTAGTACTTCTTGTGTTATAGAGGTTTATGATTGGGTTTTATGATCTTACCCTTTAGTAAATATAAATCAGGTCCTTAGCTTTATTTTGTTTAATTGTTTTTTACATTGATATTTAAGCTTACTATAAAGCTTGACATTTTTTTTTTCCATTATAGAATAATGGTTTTAAGAAATCTCAAAGGAACATGAATTGTTGGATTTTTCATTAATTGTATCATTTGATTTGATTTGAATCGGTTTAAACATTATTTGAAGTTTTGATTTGGAATACATACATCTTGGTGAGACCCATAGGCCTTTCAATTAGCACCATAGATGATGCAATGAGTGGGGGAATGCACATTCATGGTCTTTCACTTTGAAATAATTATTATGTCCGGACAAAATAATGAGTATACCGAGTGTACCAAGAGCGGTACCGAGTGCGGTATCGAGCACGGTACCGAGCGCCCAAGTGACGTGACGCTTTGTTATTGGTCTCTAGATACGTTCTGTGTCCGAACACAATAATTACTCTTCACTTTGACAAGCTATCTCATATTTCAAGCCATAACAAAGTAACCTCGAAGTCTCTCACTCTTTAAAATTCTCCTCAATCTCACCTTTCTCTCTCCCATTCCTTATACTCTTTTAGGCTCAATATAAATCTTTAGTAGAATCTTATTACCTTTTACAAACAACATTGAGTTCACCATTTATCTCTTTAATTATTAGTCCACGAGGGTTGCTTCACTATAGACGAGTAAAGAGGTTGGTTGCCTGTCTCCATCCTCTTGGATTCATTTTTGTCAACCATGCTTTTTGTTTTCCTTTTCAATGAACTGTAGCTGATCAATCAATCGCAGTTCAATTCCGTTACGCTGTAAGCTTGATCGTGTTCGTTTAGCAAATATGCCCTTTGAATGTTAACGAGTTGAAGGAAAAGGATTCCTTCCCATTTACCTAACCTACTTATTAAATAATAAGAGACCTACCAATTGTTAGGCCATATAGAAGAAAATAGCTTGCGACATCTTGAAAATTTAGCTCGGAGATTACTTGAAACTTAGTTAAAATAGAACTCAAGTTTGAATCATTGAAGCTTTGTTTGACTCAGATTTTTAACTGTTTCTAAAAGCATCTTTCGAGTACATAATTTTTAACTTTTGTACTAAATAGATGTTTTAAGAAGCAGAAAGAAAGCCGTCCCAAACGAAGCCCAAGTCACCTAATTAGTGAGCTAAGGTCTGCTCACACTTAACTTGAATTGAATCGAATTTGAATCAAACATTTTAAATCAGATCGAAACATTTAGTAAATTCTAATGATCCTGATCATTAAATTTCAAAGTGATTCATTTCCTTCAAATATTGAAGAATCACTTTTTCTGCTGCTGGAAGCTGTGATAAAGAATGTTCAAAATGCTAAGGATTCGGTCTGTGACGACGTTCTTACTGTTTTTAATACAGTTTTTTAGTACAATTTTTTTTTGAAAAAAAAGTAATTGTTTTAAAAAGATATTTTAGAAAGTAGTAAGAAAATTATCCCAAATGAAACTAAAATCACGTCCTCATCAGATCAGAGGATGACAAACTTTTCAGAACACATCTCTAAGAATCTCTCTGTGATTACTGCTATCCAAACACAAGGAATTAATAGACAGTTCCATGGCGTGCAGCCGTCCGATCGAGATCGGACGGTCACCATCACATGATCACATGCTAGAGATTTCCAATCCTTTAAGCTAAATTCATCAGCTATTCAATTTTGCTATAAACAGTCTGCTGGTGGATTGGGGATTAATGGCTATCATCCCTGTCTTCTTCAGGAAGTTGCTTAGCAAAACAGAAGATGTTCTTGGTGTGATGAGACTCATATTAGGTGAGGAATAAAATTGCTGGTTGGAGGAATTTGTCTTTTTTTTTTTTTACTTTCTATTTGATATCTAATTAGAACATGATGAGATTTTCTTAAAGAAATTTGTTTTTTTTTTTCAAAGATCTCACTTCACATGCAGCTGTTCCTAATTTTCAACAAACAAGTTTTAAATAATATGCCACTTCAGAATAAAGGAAGAAAAAGAAACAACCTAACAACATCTCTACCTGAATGGTGATGGGGACATAATGGCAGCAAACATAGGTTGATTTGATTTCCAGACAAAGCAATCCGCAGAATGCGCTGATAGAGATACTATAGGTTTTTTTTTTTTTGAATGAGATATCTACCTGTTGCCACTTCAAACGGAGCTTTTGGTGGCATAACTAATTCTTCGGCGGACCTAGCGAGCCCATCCACCGACATCGTGCCCACACTTGCATTGCCCCACTGAAAAGGCGAGGCCGTACGTAGTAGGGGGATTCGAACCCGGGATTCGGGGTTCCCAATCGTGCTCTAAGAAAACTAAGATTGAAACTTAGTTCGAATTCTAATATATTTTAAGTGTATTTTATGTTAATGCGAGAATATCTTAAAAAAAAAGCTTGTTTACAAGATTTTTTTTTTATTTGAGCGACTT